AACAAAAACAAATAATTTTAGTAAATGTTATTATGAGTCAAAAGAGGGCTAAAGAAATAAAAAAAAAAAAGGGGGGGCACTTTGGAACAAGGAGCAAAAGGGGCAGGTGCTCAAGGAGCCCCAGAACCCCCCTCTGCATGTGCCTGCTAAAGGGGGTCAAAACTCACAAGCTGAGATATTTGGAGGAATTTTTAAAAAGTAGTACAGAAAAACATTTCCTAACCAAAACATGTCGCATGGACAGACTCCCATACCAGATGCTGGATTGAACTAAGCTAACTAAATTGAACTAACTCAAAAACAAACAAATTATGTGTATGCACTCTACATCTTTTTTGCATTCAGTATGTTTTATATCACATGCAATAATGGATTAAAAGCATTTAATCCAACTGTAGGACTAATGGAAGATTAAAGTTAAAAACCATTATTGAAAAGCTCTATCTAAATGCCTTTAGAAGGCTTTTTCAGAAAAAACTGAATGCTTGTTCAGTTCACATTCTGGGTTTATCCACCAGTAACAAAGCATGCCATGAAATCTACCTCTTTACATTACAAAATGTATTTTTGCTAGAATAAGCTTATCGGTGTTGAGATGATCTGCTTCATTGTTGTGGTAATCAGGACAATTCTATGTCATTCAGGTCTCTTCATTTTCATTTTGCAGATTCAGTGACAGCTGCATGTAGCTGCCTTACCTTCTCCAGTTCAGTTAAAATGTGGTTAAGAGAGTTTCCTCACAACAAAAGGTGAAACTACCTGAAAGAGAGCGGTCCATATGGTCTAATGTTCAGGTTTCTGGCAGTATGTATTGTCTTTTTGACCACCAGTCTCAACCACAGGGCAGTGCAGGTAGTCACAAAAAAGCTGCCAGGTGAAAGTATTTTAATCACCTCTGAAATGAGCGATTAGAATAATTATTCCATGAGAGAGGGATGGCTCTTGCTATTAACAACCCTCTGTTCAATATCACAACAAATTAGTTCATGCTCATTAGTATGAGTTGTGCTTGCCTAGTGGTTTGGAAAACCTCCATTGGGAACTTGCTTTATTACTTCCTTTGTGAGGAGCATGTAATTAACATTCATCAACTGCTATGTTTATGAAGCAACCACCCCAACCCCATAAATGTAACGTTGCTGTTACATAAGTGTATCAGCAGCTTGGAGGGGTTTGAGAGAGGAAATGAGTGTTGAAACGCTAACTCACAAGTTGTAGTAAAAGTGGTTTAAAGATGCTCCAGTGGTTTAATACAAGTCATCCTACATAGAGAGCAATGAGCAAAATGTGAAAGTACAACAAAGTATTTGATGCAGTTGTTGCACTTCAACCCTAACACACTGTTCATATTTGATACCTTCATGGTAGGTCTGGGTAAATTTTGACACAGACTGATAATTTCTTCATATTCAGTATCTCAACAGAATACTGAATGTATAAATAGGCTATCTGACATTAATAACGGAATAATTATTGTAATTAGCTGATTAATTACAATAATTAACCAAAGGTAAATTATTCCCCCTTTTCAGAAAAAGGGGGAGTGTTTATTTTTTTATTTTTATTTTTTACTCCACTTTTTTTTTTAAATAATCAAATGTCACAGAATTGCAAAAGCTAAAAAAGCTCTACCTTTAACTCCAAACAGTATGTGAGTCATTTTCAGGCTAGATTCTACATACTTTTGTCTCATTTAGACTTGAATCCTGCAGTGGGAGAGCAGGGATGGATTCTCAAAATATGACCCTGAAAACATTCACATATAACATGTTCCTGAAAAGTTTTTTTTCTCTGAAACTTAATTTCATGGAAACTTTTCATCAACATGGGTAGTTTTCTGTCTGCGTTTGCAATATACCAGACCAATTAGGCAGATGCTGAGCATCTCCTCCTCTTGTAGGAGTAATCTGGGGTCCCAGCTTTACTCACAGTGGAACATCAGATTCCAGAATGTGATTGAAATAAATAAAATCAGAGCTAACCAGCATTAGTCTCACATTTCTAATGTGAGACTAATGCCTTTGTCTTTAAGCAGCTGGTAAAAGACCAGGAGCTTTTACCAGAAAGAGGACACCATTGAAAGAGTGCCCAATGGTTTCAGTGGTGGAGGCCTCAACAACTGCCTGGATCTATGACTACCTGACAAACAGACCACAGTTTGTGAGACTGATTTTATTAAATTCAAAATGGTATTTAATAGAATACAGTAAGTTAATTTAAATAAGTTTTCATCAATTTGCTATCAACACTCACTTTTACTAAGTTTCTTGGAATATGTGGTTCTTCAACTTACCGCTGTATATGGATTAATTTATAAAAAGTAAGTTTGTGATAATTGTGATTTTTTTTTCCTGCATTGGAAAGTACTTTGACTCAATACTACATGTACAAATACTTTACCTGATGTTTTGTTTTTCTATTCTAGAACCACCAATTTGTCTCATCTGACTCAAGGAAAGACTAATCCCGACGTTATTATGAACAGGAATGCATTCACACAGCAGAAGATCAGAACAAGTCTCCATGTATTATTTTAACTTAAGCTGGGCTAAATGCTTTTTGTTGTTGTTGTTGTTGTTGTTAATTGCATTTTTTTCTACATGCAAATGTCCCAATTGGAAACCTTTGTTTTGTGTTTCGGTATTCCTATAAATCTGACACACAAGTGACACCTGCAAACCATCACTCTCACTCTCAACCTTCGCCAGGGATGGTTGAGAGTGAGAGTGAATTCATCTTTATTGTATATTTTATCAGACAGAATATTTATTTTCTATATTGTGTTTTTCAAATATTTGATGCAGTTAACCAGGTTTGAGTCCCGGTCTGGTGACGCATGTCTTTCTTCTCTGTCATTTCCCTCCTTTCTGTCTGACCACTTTTAAATAAAGGCCCAAGAGCCAATAAAACCTTAATTTAAAGAAAAAAAGAGAAAAGCCAATGACTCAATCAAAAAAAAAAATGGTTTGTTTAATTTGAGTTATATGAACTTAATTTTTTTTCCCGTTAGTTGTACTACTTGATTTAGTACTGCTTATTTAAAATAAATTAGGTTTACTTACTAATCTTAAGCTTACTTTGCTGCATTTTTTGAGGCAATTAGTTTGCATAATATTGTTAAGTAAGGTGAACTAATTAGATTTTACAGTGAAGGTGGTCAAGACCACAGGAGCACCACTGAGGACTGTTCTCACCATTCCTTTTCACTATATCTTTTTCTGCGGATGAATTCTCCAGCAGAGAGTTCATCTACAGAAACATTTAACTGCAAGTGGATCAGAGGTAGACAAGAAGGTCAGTACGAGAGCTGGTACACCATTTTGTGGTGTGGAAACAAAAATCTTATCTTGAATGCAAACAAACAAAAGAGGTGATTGCAGATTTCAAAAGAAACAGTGTTAAATCAAACCTTATTGTGATCATTGTGCAAAGGCGTCCTCAAAAAAAGAAAAATAAGTTACAACGTTTAATTTCCTTTTGGGATTAATAAAGCAGTTTTTAAATTCAATTGAATTGAATTTGACCTTCTAAGTAATGTTATATTATCTGAGTAAAGATAATTGGGAGGCATAGTGCCGAAGGAATTTAAAAAGTAATTTTCTACAACCATTTTAAAATATGATTAGTTTAGTTTCTTACGAAAACTAAAGCTGTTTGCTAAGTTTAATAATGCTGCTGTTTAAAAATGTTTTTCTTTGAAATAGCTTGGGATTATTATTATTATTATTATTATTATTATTATTATTATTATTATTATTATTATTATTATTGTTATTATTATTATAGGCGGTGCTGTAATTTTCAGAAAGAGAATAAAAAAATGTCAGCGTGTTTTTTAGTGCTCAGGGGACCGAATTGTAGTGTGCACACACTTCCTGATGGAGCTGCTAAGTATCAGCGAAGAATAATATCGAGCAAGACAGCTTGACGAGTTGAGAAGAAGTTATGTTTGGGTGTCCAGTGGACGGGGAGAAGCTTTTTCTAAAGATGGACTTTATCCTTCGGCTTCCAGAACAGGAGTAGTGGATAACATCCCTATGTCTACGTCTTGGCACTACTGACACATCTACGACGAAGGGTAGGATTGTTCAAGTCCCCGTAGCTAACAGCAGCTATCAGGCTACAAGGCTAACGTAAGATGGCTAGCATTAAGCTCTAGGCCTTTCTAGAATAACCCGTTTCACTTGGTTCTGTAGTGTGTCGGATGCAAAGTCGTAGTTCGTTCCGCTCTGCTTTGATATTATAAGATGCATTGTCTAATTTACCGACAAAAAAGCCAAAGTTGTTCTTGGTCTGTAATTGGGCGGTTTTTAAATGGTTGTTGCTGTTACCCGTGCTGAGTAGCCAGCTGGGAGAAGGCTGTGGTTATGCCGTTTTGACAACTTGCAACAGAACATTAGAAACACTGTTCACCAATTTATTCAGTGAATTAGACATGCTCTTTGGTAATAACTTTACAATCATAAAATTGCCACTTTTTTTGTCCGTGTTCACATTAATTCAGCTATATATTCTGTTGAATTTTGTAAGTAATGGTAATTACGAGTTGTTATTGTTTCATATCTTACAAATGTCTCTTTTTTCAGTAAGTTACTAGCTTATTATAGCTAGTAATGTCTCAAACGTTGCCGCCCTCTGACATGCTGGAAACACCACCTGGATATCCGTTTGAAGAAATAAACTATGAGGATATTGAAGTTGAAGAGGTGGGTTGCACCAATAGAGTATGAAACTTGCACAGTATGGTAATTACTTATGATCTTGAATGCTATTATATTTGTTACCTGTGTAGGTGGTGGGAAGAGGAGCTTTTGGAGTTGTCTGCAAAGCCAAGTGGAAAGGCAAAGATGTTGCAATAAAGACAATTGAGAGTGAATCAGAGAGGAAGGCATTTATTGTTGAGGTACGTACCTTGACAATAAAGTACTGTTTAC